TCCATTTTAATGCTAGTGCTCCCTGAGTATATTTCTTCACAATGTTACTTAGCCTGGGGTTATAACTGCCTTTTAAACTCATTTCCTCAGCTTTTACTCTGTCACTAATTCAACTTGTTGCTCCCAGTTCTTTAAACCTCCACTCAACTAATTCAAACATGTTGATTCTACTAATTTTATTTTCCTCATTAAACATGATATAGAACTATGAAACAAGGGCTCCTGCACAGGTTTCTACATATTACAAGAAACTTTATATGTCAGTCTATGTTCCCCACTATACTTCATACACAACACATGCATACACACAATTCATATCATATGGTCTTTTACATCTCCAGGGCATTCATGGCACATTTTAGGGATATCTTCTATAAACATGTCTCAAACTGAACTCACCTTTACTTAATGGCATTGTTAACACCTTAAAAGAAAGGGGGGGAGGGGGAATCTACATTTTGTTGTTGTTGTTTCTTTCCTACTGCTAGCCTCTATAACTTTTGCTTAATAACTACAAACTGTTTTAAAGATGAGTTAGTACATGCTAACAAGAAAGGTCTGTGTCAACACCAATTATACAGCAACCAATGACTCATGAGTAAAGGAGTTTGTTGTTTTGTGCAAATGAAAACACACACACAAGCAAACACATGCACACTCATTAGCTGGCAGATACTAAGGATTCCAGTTAAGACAGTTTAAAATTTAATATACTCCCTAAAAGTCTTGGTGCAAACAATTACAAAGGAAATGAAGGCAAATTATTAATATACCTAAGAATTCTCAAATTAGCACCAGCAATTCAAACCTTGCATCAATGACAGTTATATAATAGAAATTTAATCTAAGCTTTGAATATTTATATTAAAAGGGGAAAAAGAAACTCTAGAAGTAATGTTAGGAGGGTTTTTTTTTTTTTTTTTTTTTTTTTTTTCGTTCTTGATCTTGAGTCCTTTCTCCAATAACCACAGATTAAATTGATCAATTTAACATGAAAAACTTACCATCCACCATAATTTTCAAGGAATATACAGTGTCCCATGTGGAAATAATGTAAATGAAGAATAAATGGCTTGCTAACCTGAGAGTTCAAAACAATTATAAACCTTATACTTTAGAACAACCACCACTTTGTGCTGTCAGTTTGCCATACTGTGGTAGCTTGCATGCTGCTGTGATTCTGGAACCTACAGCAGGGTCACCCATGGTGGACAGGCTTCAGATGAGCTTCCTAACTAAGACAAACCAGGAAGAAGGAGAGATGGACTACTTCAGAATATTTAGTCACTGAAAACCTTAGAGAGCACCCAAATATTGAATACTGAAACATGATGAAGACACCAGAATTTTGTCAGATAATAGTGCCAGAAAATGAGCCCTTCAGGTTGAAGGTACTCAAAATATGAATGGGAAAGAGTTGCCTCCTGAAAGTAGAGTTGGCCGTGATAAAAATGGAGTGAAGCTTCTGGAACCTTCAATTGCTGATGGGGCACAACTCAACACGAGGAGAAACAGCTGTAAACATCCATTAATGATCCGAACATGGACTGTATGAAGCATGAATCTAGCAGTAGGAACTGGAAGTTGTCAAAAATTAAACGGAATACATAAATGTTAATATCCTAGGCATTAGTGAGCCGAAATGGACATGTACTGGTCATTCTGATTCTGATAACCACATGGTTTACTCTGCTGGAAACGACAAATTGAAGAGAATGGCATCACATTCATCATCAAAAAGAACATTTCAAGATCTATCTTGAAGTGAAGTACAACACTGTCTGTGATAGGACAATATCCACACTTCTATAAGGTAGGCCAGTTAATAACCAATATTATTCAAATTTATGCACCAACAACTAACGCCACTAAAGATGATATTGAAGAATTCGACTAACTTCAGTATGAGATTGATCAGACATGCAATCAAGATGTATTGCTAATTACTGGCGATTAGAATACAAAGATTGGAAATAAAGAGGAAGGATCAGTAGTTGGAAAATATGGCCTTAGTGATAGAAATAATGCTGGAGATCACATGATAGAATTATACAAAACCAATCAATTCAATTTGTTCATTGCAAATACCTTTTTAAAACAACATAAAGACACATGGATCTCACCAGATGAAATACACAGAAATCAAATAGATGACATATGTGGAAAGAGACAGTGGAAAAGCTCCATATCATCAGCCAAAATAAGGCCAGGGGCAGGCTGTAAAACATACCATCAATTGCTCATATTCAAGTTCAGGCTGAAGTTGAAGAAAACTAAAACAAGTTTGTGAGAGTCAAAATATGATCCTGAACATATCCCACCTGAATTTAGAGATTATCACAAGAACAGATTTGATGCATTAGACACTAAAGACCAAAAACCAGAAGAGTTGTGGGATGACATCAGGAACATCATAAAGGAAGACAGCAAAAGGTCATTAAGAAGAAAAAGGACCAAAATGAACGTCAGAGGAGACTCTGAAACTTGCTCTCCAGCACAGAGATGTTAAAGCAAATGGAAGTAATGAGGTAAAAGAGATAAACAGAAAATCTCAAAGGGCAGCACAAGATGACAATGTCAAATATCATAATGAAACATGCCAAGACCTGGAGTTAGGAAACCAAAATGCAAGAACTCGCTCAGTATTTCTCAAGCTGAAAAACTGAAGAAAAATTCAAGCCTCGAATTGCAATATTGAAGGATTCTATGAGAAAAATATTGAATGATGCAGAAAGTATCAAAAGGTTAGAAGAAATGCAGAGTCACTGTACCAAAAAGGAATAGTCAATGTTCAACCATATGGTCAAAAGCCAGTAATACTGAAGGAAGAAGTCCAAGGTGCACTGAAGGTATTGGCAAAGAACAAAGCCCCAGAAAATGATGGGATACAAATTAAAATTTTTCAACAAACTGAGGCAGTACTAGAGGCACTCATTCATCTATGTCAAGAAATCTGGAAAAGAGTTACCTGGCCAACTGATTAGAAGAGATTCATATTTGTGCTCATTATACAGAGAGGTGAGACTCAGTAAAATGAGGAAATCATCAGACAGTATCATTAATATCAAATGCAAGTAAATTTTTGCTTAAGAGAATTCAACACCGGTTATAACAATACATTGGTAGGGAACTATCAGAGGTTCAAGTCGTTTTCAGATGAGGACGTGTAAGGAGGGATATCACTGTTGATGTCAGATGGTTCCTGGCTGAAAGCAGAGAATACTAGAAAGATGTTTACCTGTACTTTACTGACTACGCAAAGGCTTTAGAATGTGTGAATCATGACAAGCTATGGAAAACATTTGCGTAGAATTAATCCAGAATGCTTAATTGTGCTCATGAGGAACATGTTCATAGACCAAGAGGCAGTTGTTCCAGAAGAACAAAAGAACCCTGAATGGTTTAAAATCAAGAAAGGTTTAACATTAGGACTTCATGCTTAGTAAAGTGGAGGGTCAGCAAAAAAGACAAAAACCCCCAACGAGTTGGACTGGCACAGTGGCAACAGCAATTGGCTCAAGCGTGAGGTTGGCCAGGACTGCGCAGTGTTTAGTTCTGCTGTGCATAGGGTTGCTATGAGTCGGTACCTACTTGATGGCACCTAACAACAACAACAACAGAATATCACTGAAAATTTTACTAATATACTAGTTATACTTTTAAGTAGTAAGTAATGGAGGCTAATTCATGTTTTTAACATGACCAAATACCAAAACATTTAAGAAAAATCACATTAATAATCTACCTTTTTAAAATGTTTAAGTAAATTATTATGCATTTATAATTTTATCCTCGTCGTCGTCAAGTGCCTTTGAGTCGGTTCCGACCCAAGCGACCCTGTATAGGGTTTCCGAGGAGCGACTAGAGAGCGTGAACTGCCGGCCTTGTGGTTCAAAGTGACTTTGCTGTCCAGCACATTAAGCCACAGCGCCACACGAGAATTCCGTTGTTGTCGTTACGTGCCGTGGAGTCGGTTCTGACTCAGTGACCCTGTACAGGGTTTCCGAGGGTGTAAATCTTTACAGGAGCAGAAAGCCTCATCTTTCTCCCGTGGAACAGCTGGTAGTTTTGAACTGCTGACTGTTGAGATTAGCAGCCTGATTCATAACCACTATGCTACAGAGTATTTAATTTCTACAATGAATGGCCTCTGACCAGCAGCTGTGTATGACAAGCTCAGAATTACAGAAGCACTGAACTGAAATAAACAGTTCATATAATCAAATCCACTCTCTTCATTTTTCATCTGCTAAAATTGAACTCAAGAGAAATCGAGTGCTAGAGAACAGGGGAGAACCAGAATCTAGATCCTGAGTCTCAAATGGCCTTCCAAAGAGTTCACTATTTCCCTATTACTTGTATTTTCTATCAACATTTGATGGTAACTACTAAGTCCTGGTATAGCGCAGCGCTATAGGATCAGCACTGGACTGTGTCTGTGGCAAACTGCTGTATTAAATAATTCACTGTACCCTAATAATACAAATGTTTATTTGTCTGTAATATTATTTTGTGCATGTATACATGTATCTGTGTGTATATACACACTCAACATACATATATGCATGCTCAGTAATTTTATTACATAAACTGTATCCATAAAAGTGGGGCCCTGGTGTGACACTATAGGATAAGTACTGTACTGCTAACCACAAGAGGTCAGCAGTTCAAACCCACCAGCTGCTCCTTGGAAACCCTATACGGGGTCACCGTGAGAAAGAACCAAATCAATGGCACTTAACAACTGCAAAGTCAAAAAAGAATCTCTCGAAATGTTTGAACATTATACAACTGGTACATGTATACAAGCAAATGGAAAAAGATGAAAAATGACAAACTGATCTCCCATTCTGCATTTACAATTTCACTTTACTGACTATTATGCAATAAAACCAATGTTGAATTAAAGAAATATTAAACTCAGATAGGAACCATGACAGAATTGAGGGCCAAATCAACCTACAAACTTTTATGTTAACCATGAAAACACTGTAACTCACATTATCCATCTGTTTCCAGCACATGTCAAGGTACTGTTGAGCTTTTCGTCCTTCCTGGAGATGCTAAAGATTATAACAACAATAAAACAAAAACACACACATACAAATAAGTAATTGTATTTAAATACAAAATGAAGTCTACAATCAGAGAAAGGCATTCTATTATTTTTTTCAAAATGCTAATCATTTTATCAATATCTAGATTATTATTAGCACAAAACTATTACTTTAGTACAACAAATATAACCTTTAAGCAGATATAACCTTTAGAAAAGTAGATGAATGCCTTGAATAGGGGCTGTAAGCATTTTCTGTAAATGATCAGATCTTTTAGGCATTGTATGGTTTCATCATGAGATGGAATCAACTCAACAGCAACAGAGCTTGGTTTCAGCTTTTACCCACATGGTCTCTGTTCAATGACTTAACTCTGCTCATAAGTGCAAATGCAGTCACATAAGTCAATGAGTGTGGGTCTGTTCCAATTAAACTATACTGAAGGGCAATGAAGGAGTACTGCTAGCACACTGACTAAGCACTTGACTGCTAACCTGCATATCAGTAGTGTGAATTCACAAGCAAAAAGCTTGATGACCTCCTATAAAGACTGCAGCCTAGGAAACCCTATGGAGCAATTCTACTTTGCAGTATGAGTTGCTATTAGTCAAAATGTATTCAGCTGCACCTCACAAAAATATTTTAATTGAATTTCAAATAATTTCTATAAGCCATTAAATATTACTTTTTTTTTTCAACTCTCTAAAAATGTAAAAACCAGGAAACAAAACCAGACAGTAGGCTGAATTTGACCAGTGAGCTGTCGTTTGCCAACCCATTCTCAAATCCAAAAGGATCATAAATTAGTAAAAATATCTTGAGATAATCTGTGAATAGAATACATTTAGTGGAATAGAAAACAAGTTTATATTGGGCATATATATGTCCAAGGGCCTTCAAAATGTTTGTAGAAAGAGTCTGCTATTCTTAAATACCATTTTTTCCAAAAGCTTTTTGAAACCCCCCCATAATAAAAAACAAAGCAATTCTTACTTATGTGAAAATGCATGAGATACTATAATATCTGGATAAAAACAATTACCATTTTCCTTTCAGTTTTCAGATCATGGGCGTATCTCATTAATTCACCATGCACTCTCTGCACCATTTCTTCTGCTACCACTTCTCGTTGTCCTGCATAGTCATTTAGCTCATTGAGGATGTTATAGAAGGCTATACAAGAGGTAAACCTGACAAAGACATAATTTCACATGGTGAAATTTATTTGAATGCATACTACAAATATTTTTACAGAGGATTGTGCCTGACATTTGACAAACTATAACATAATCAACCTAATCTCAGCTACATTCTAAATTAACTTCATATGGAAAGAATTAAGCTCTCTTGCATTAAGCGCATTGTATACATTTGTATGTATATCTTCAATTAGATTTAATTTACAAAGGGATAGTTCCAGTTAAACAATAATAAGAATCCTACCCTGAAGGCTCTTTTGACAAGGAATCTCTTAAATTGCCGAAAGACTGGCCTGAGCTTGGGAATGAACCCGACTGGATTCCTAGACTTGGCAGCTGAACTGTTGCAAAGATGATGTGTGTGCTCTCGAGGGCAGAACCTGCCAATCATACCACTCAAATGCATCGCAATGGCTGATCTACAGAATAACTTTGCTATCAGCTCTGGACACAGCTGCCTGTGTGCCTGCCCACATCCTGAATGGAAGTGAAGAATCATTATGGTTGGCACCAAGGGGGACAGAGGGGACAAAAATAACAGGAAAATGTGTGTGGAGGGTAGGAGAGAAACAAAGATAATCACTTTAGTAAAAGGTAGTAGACATCTACTTTGAACATACTAAGGAACAATCTTTTACAGTTGAAGCTGACAATTCAGATACTATTCAAGTAACAATAAATCTTAGAATACTAGCAATTGACAATTTTACACAAAGTTTTTGCTTTCCTGTTTTTAATTCCAGTTCCTTTTTGTCCCTGCATTCTAGAATCATCCACAAATATGTGACTTAAAGTATCCCAAAGCCCCTGAGGAGTACTGGTATGGCACTGTGGGTTAATGCACTGGACTGCAAGGTCAGTTTGAACCTCAAGGTCAGTAGTTCAATTTGACCAGCCACTCCTCGGAAACCATATACAGGGTCACTATGGGTCGGAACTTACTCAACGGCACTTATCTACAACAACAAAGCCCATAAGAGATTCCTAATCTTTTACTAAAACCTAATGTACCCTTGAAATTCTCATTCTTTTTAATTATCCCTTTAAATCAATTTTTATAGGTAGTATAAGTTTTAAGGAGTTCTGGTAGCATAGTGGTTACGAATTGGGCTGCTAACCACAAGGTTGGCAGTTCAAAACTACCAGCTGTTCCGCAGGAGAAAGATGAGGCTTTCGGCTCCCATAAAGATTTGCAGCCTTAGAAGCCCTATGTAGGGTCACTATGAGTCAGAACTAACTCCACAGTACTTAACAACAACATAAGCATTCTGTAACCTATAAGAGTAAAGGCAAGGATCTGACATGTTGACAGCTACAACATAAAAGCATGGGAAAATATGCTTTTCTTCGGGAGATTAAATCACCCAAGGGGAGTTTCCATCTACATTTCACTTAACAATCCACACTTGAACTATTCTGTTGATCAAACCATTAATATATTCATCCTGTTGAGATAAACAGTAATTCCTTCTTTCATAAAATGATTTTTATTTAAAAAGCTAATGGCACAGTAAGTTCTTACTAAATAATAAAAACGTAAGCATTTCTTAAATTTGTTAATAGGCAATAAATACATATGTAAGTTACCTTGGCTCTTCATCTTTAGACGATCGCTTGGGACAGTACTTCTTAACCAGATTCCTATAGAAAGAAGAATATAAATACTGTGGATGTTTAAATATTCTAAAAGTTTCAAATTTCATTAAATGTATACTTTCATAATACAAAACAATTGAGAGGAACATGAACATCTACTGCCATTAGCATCATGTTTGATCATTACTTACATTTTGTTCTTAAAATAATGCCAGCTATAGAAAGAAATGTTAGTTCTCTTTTGATGTATGTGTAGTAATTTGGTTGGTTATGCTGTCAAGTAAGAGGAAAGATAAGAGGAAGAATAAGAGAAACAAAGTATTTAGCAAATGAAACTCTGTGCTGTGGCACAGAGATATACATTTTAAAGAAATATTATCACTATTTTGTTTTGCAAATCAGAGATTTTGATACTAAGGTAAAATGTAAGCAGATGTTCGTTCACTCAATACACTTAATATTCTGTAAAAATGCTACTTTCATATGAAAATCATTGTGTGACCCCTTAACCTTCTCTTTTTAAGCAAATGAGTTCTTTTTATCATAAAGGACACATTTAAATGTTTATCAAGTAACTGAAATGTTCTAGTTGCTACATTTTAGGCCTCACCTTATATGCCCTTCTTCATCTCCCATTAAGATATATGGCACACACTCATTAATCATACCAAGCTGCTCAATATTCTGACTTGTGAACTGACTCGATGTCACCTAACAACAATAATAACTGTCTGCCTACATCCAAGTCTGTTCATGAAAATCTCAGACAAGAATGCTATTTCATTCTTATTAGTGAAACCGGATGCAGACTAGCACACAGACTTTGGATCCAGATTAGAGACTACTTGGTTTTGAATGCTAGCTGTTTTGGGTGGTGTTATGGCACCTTGAACAATGTAGTTCTCTGTGCCCCAGTTTCTTCATCTATAAATGGTGATAACAGTAGCTACCTCATAGGGCTGTTATGATAATTAAGATAACAATTGTAAAGCATTTACCACAGCACTTCATGCCAGTGTATGGTTCATATACCAGTAAAGGTCCAAAGAGTCTCTGTTATGAATCCACAAGCTTAGTACAAAGGTTGTGAGTAACTTTAAGTCTATTGAATCTAACAATAAAAAATCAGTCTAGTTCCCAAACTGACCTATAGACTTAACACAATCCCTAGGAAGACTTTGCCCTGAAGTGGAGGGAAGAACAGACAAAGACACTGAGAAAGAGTCCCTTGTCATCAAAAAGCTCAGTTATTCTTGGTCTGTAAAATAAGGCACAGGATAAAAGCCTTAAACTTTACATTTATTCCTTCTATCAAAATACTTGCTAATATTTAATACATTGCTATACAAGCACATGGAGTCCTGGTGTGTCGCTGTAAGATGGGAACTGGATCGCAAGGTCGATTTGAACCACGAGTTCAGCAGTTCAAACTCAGCAACTGCTCCTTGGAAAACCTATACCAGGTTGCTATGGGTCGGAACCAACATGATGGGCACTTAAAACAACACACAAGTACATGTATATATAATTTATAAATAATTACAAGTACATGCTAGTTGTTTTACAAGTGGGCAATAAAATATTCAGAGATCTCTGGTACAGAGAAATAAAATAAATAAGCATTTTTTGTATATAGCATAATACTGTAAGAACAATAAAGGGTTCTGTACACAGGGTTTTTCTAGATTGGAAAACTGATATTCCTCATCCCCTGACTGAGCTAAGGAACACCGGACAAATGGTAAGTCCTGGGGGATTCTAACTACGGGAAGAGGTCTCCTGAGCAAAGACAAGAAGTATGAAAAAGCATGACATTTAGGAGGAACTGTGAGTGGGTTCAATGCTGCTAGAATATCAAGTGTGAGCCAGATAATGGCAAGTAGTGAGGTTGAAAAGGTAGGTCAGGGAAAGAGCAGAGGTTCTTCTAAATCATATTAAAGAACTCTAAGTATTTTTAAGCAATGATTTTTAATCATGGTTACTTGAACCACCACTAAACACAATTATGTGAATAAATTAATGTATTAATTCACTCAAACACCAGCGAGCTACTATGTGCTATACATTAATTATTCTAAATACAGGACTGACAGAAAGGGATGAGTTATAGCTCAACAAACTAGTAATTATTCATGACCTATAGTCCTTTCTGGCGTGGCCTAATGCATCAGACTGCCAAGTCGTTTGAACTGCAAGGTCGATGGTTCAAGCTCACCAGCTGCTCCTTGGAAACCCTACACTGGGTAGGTAGCTATGGGTCAGAATCAACTCGATGACACTTAACAACAACAGTCCTTTCTAAGAGAGAAGTCAAAAAACAAGAGTGGGAGGAGGGGATGGATATGAGTTCAATAGAATAGCGAAGTCCACAGAGATAGAAAGTAGATTCATGGTTGCCAGGGTCTGGGAGAGGAGCAAGTGAGGATGAACACTAATGAGGACAAGAGTTTCTTCTTGGGATGACAAAAATGTTCTAAACTAGATAGTGGTGATGGCTGCACAACTCTAATGAAGAATACACCTACTCCTCACTTATGGACTATTTCATTTTCTACCATTTTACATCTAGGATAATACTAACATGGTGGTGGTATGCCATGGAGTCGGTTCCAACTCATAGCAACCCTGGTATAGGGTTTCCAAGGCTATAAATCTTTACAGGAACAGAAAGCCTCATCTTTCCCCTGCGGAACCGCTGGTAGTTCCAAACTGCTGACCATGAGATTAGTAGCCCGACTTGTAACCACTATGCTACTAGAGCTATAGAGCTGTCCTATATGGTCTCTATTAAGTCAGAATCGACTCAACTGCAGTGGATTTGAGTGATAATGAAGTAATCGAAAAGTTGGGTAATGATGCAATTGAGCAATTACATAATAATATAGTTATCTTTCACTTATGCTAATGCCAATTTTTGCATAATGACCTGGTCTTTGGAACCTAATCATGGTGCTAAGTAAGGATGCTATATATTAAAATTGACTAAACTATTTATGTATAAGATATGCTTTTTAAATGGTGGATTTATAGTATGTGAACTATATTTCAATGAAGTTTTGTTGTTTTTTTAATAAAAGAATAACAACTGTAGGAGGGTAATCCATCTGCTACAGGTACCTCAAATTCAACAAGTCTAAATCAGAATGGATCTTCTTTTATGAATCTAATTCTTTTCTTATATCAATGGCACCACCATTCTCTGAGCCATAAATGTGGCAATCATATCCTATACTTCTCAATTTCCTCCCAGCTAAAGGTGCTCAAGTTCTGTATACTGTATTTCTTAATTAACTCTTCTTGCTTTTTTTTTTTTTAACTTTTTATTGTGAATTGAGTGAAGGTTTACAGACAAGATCATCAGTTTTACATTCAATAAATCATACACTTTGTTTCATCTCAATGACTGCAATCCCTCCATGCAACAAAGCTGTCCCACTTCCTCCCAGTGGTTCCTGTTTCCATCCCACCTACCTTCCCAACCATTCTCAACTTCGTCCTTAGGAAAATGTTGCCCTCTTGATTTTGAATGATTGAGCATTCCATGGTGAACATGCCTTACTAGTGTTCTTGTTCCCCATCCTATAAACCTATCTACTGGCTTGGCCACAGGGTGAGTTCCTTTCCAGACTGGAAGGGTGGTTGAGGGCCAGTCTCTACTCCAGTCTCTTTCTGACCAGTAAGTCTGGTCATTTTTTATAATTTTGAGTTATGTTCTATATTTTCTCCAACTCTATCTGAGAACTTCTGATGTGATTCCTTTCAAGGCAATTGTTAGTGGTAGCTGGGCACCATCTAGTTCTTCTGGTCTCAGAATTGTGGAGACTGATGTTCACATGTCCCACTGGTCCACTAGACAACGGATTCAATTCTAATCACTCTTGCTTCTTCTCCATATTTGTTGTTGTTATGTGCCGTGGAGTTGGTTCTGACTCATAGCAACCATACACAGGGTCTCCGAAGCTGAAAATCTTTACGGAAGCAGATCGCCTCATCTTTCTCCCACGGAACCACTGGCAGTTTCGAACTGCTGACCTTGTATCTTCTGCACATAGAGAGACCAATATTTGTACCTTAGAGGGTCGCTCATGAGCTTTTAAGATCCCCAACGCTATTCACCAAACTACGATGTAGAGAACATTGTTTTTGTGGAATATGTTATGTAACAATACTTTCTGACTTACCCTTGTATATATGTATGTACAAGGAGGTTTCAAAAATTCAAAGAAAAAATCCAGTATCTCTTAACTGCATTTTCCACAGATTTTTTTCAAATCACTTCATATTTAAAGGAAGCTGTGCTCTAGTTCTAAGTGACTACATTTTTCATTCAATCAATCAAGAAACAAACTGTGCTACAGAAATTAATCTGAGACGTTTTAATAGGTCTTATTAACTATGTGCAGGATTCTCTGAAGACAGTAGCTGGTTCCTACCCAAGTGAACGTGAATTACACCAAAAATCGAGGGTCACTAAACATTGATTGTCTTGACCAGCTTCACATTCTCAATTTCAGAAGACAGCCAGCAGTAAGTGCGGTGATTATGCAGCACCTCAATGGCCTTGAGTTCCAGGGGTGTTGTCTGAATACCAAGGTCTTCCAAGCCAGGTAGGTGAGGCAATTTAATGTCTATGAGGTAAACCCGTTTCACTTTATCCCTCGTTGTCCAGGGCTCAAACGGACTCATCTCAAAGAATCTTGATACCAACTGATAGGCAAAATGTGGCATGAGGTATGGGATGAAGGGTCTGTGAGCCACAGCAATGACATACTGCATCATGTTGAAGAGGGGGTATCAAGTTGGCCCAGTGAAGGCAAAGGTTTTCCCCCTCTGGTATCTGGATCCTTAACTGCATTTTCTATTCCTTTGGATACATCTACAACATATACTGGTTGTTTCTCTGTCTTCAGGCCCAAGGAAACAATAGGCACACCACCAGTGAATATTTGCAAAATAGTTGAGGAATCGATCTTCTCTTCCAAAGTTGTCCAAGGGCTTTATAATAGTGGCTTCTGGAAATGCATCTCTCACTTCTTTCTCTCCAA